ATGTCCCTTTACTGGAACTAAGGGGCCTAGCCCGAACCATGACAAACAGCTCCAGACCATTATTCCTCCTCCACCAAACTTTACAGTTGGCACTATGCATTCTCCTGGCATCCGCCAAACCCAGATTCGTCCGACGGACTGCCAGATGGTAAAGCGTGTTTTATCACTCCAGAGAACGCATTTCCTCTGCTCCAGAGTCCAATGGCAGCGAGCTTTACACCACTCCAGCCGACGCTTGGCATTGCGCATGGTGATCTTAGGCTTGTGTGCGGATGCTCAGCAATGGAAACCCATTTCATGAAGCTCTCGATTAACAGTTCTTGTGCTGACATTGCTTCCAGAGGCAGTTTGGAACTCGGTAGTGTTGCAACCGAGGACAGACAATTTTTACGCGCTTCGGCGGTCCCGTTCTGTGAGCTTGTGTGGCCTACCACTTCATGGCTGAGCCGTTGTTGCTCCTAGATGTTTCCACTTCACAATAACAGCACTTTCAGTTGACCAAGGGCAGCTCTAGCATGGCGGAAATCTGACAAACTGACTTGATGGAAAGGTGGCATCCTATGACGGTGCCACATTGAAAGTCACTGAGCTCTTCAGTAAGGCCATTCCACTGCCAATGTTTGTCTATGGAGATTGCATGGCTTTGTGCTCGATTTTATACACCTGTCAGCAACAGGTGTGGCTGAAATAGCCGAATCCACTAATTTGAAGGGATGTCCACATACTTTTGTGTATATATAGTGTATTTCAATACTCTTTCCACCTGTGTAATGTACACTGAACAAAAATATAAATGCAACATGTAAAGTTGTGGTCCCATGTTTCATGAGCTGAAATAAAACATCCCAGAAACGTTCCATACGGACAAAAAGCGTATTTTTCTCAAATTTTGTGCACAAATTTGTTTACAGCCCTGTTAGTGAGCATTTCTCCTTTGCCAAGATAACAGGTGTGGCATATCAAGGAGCTGATTAAACAGCATGATCATTACACAGGTGCACCTTGTGCTGGGGACAATAAAAGACCACTAAAATGTGCAATTTTGTCACAACACAATGCCGCAGATGTCTCAAGTTTTGAGGGAGCATGCAATTGGCATGCTGACTGCAGGAATGACCACCACAGCTGTTGCCAGATAATTTCATGTTAGTTTTTCTACCATAAGCTGCCTCCAACATCGTTTTAGAGAATTTGGCAGTAGGTCCAACCGGCCTCAACCGCAGACCACGTGTTTGGCGTCGTGTGGGCGAGCGGTTTGATGATGTCAATGTTGGGAACAGAGTGCCCCATGGTGGCGGTGGGGTTATGGTATGGGCAGGCATAAGCTACGATCGCAATTGAATTTTATCGATGGCAATTTGAATGCACAGAGATACCGTGACGAGATCCTGAGGCCCATTGTCGTACCATTCATCCGCCGCCATCACCTCATGTTTCAGCATGATAATGAACGGCCCCATGTCGCAAGGATCTGTACACAATTCCTGGAAGCTGAAAATGTCCCAGTTCTTCCATGGCCTGCATACTCACCAGACCTGTCACCCATTGAGCATGTTTTTTGGATGTTTTGGATCGACGTGTATGACAGCGTGTTCCAGTTCCCGCCAATATCTAGCAACTTCGCACAGGCATTGAAGAGTGGGACAAAATTCCACAGGCCACAATCAACAGCCTGATCATCTTTATGTGAAGGAGATGTGACGCGCTGCATGAGGCAAATGGTGGTCCCACCAGATACTGACTGGTTTTCTGATCCACGCCCCTACCTTTTTTTTAAGGTATCTGTGACCAACAGATGCATATCTGGATTTCCAGTCATGTAAAATCCATAGATTAGGGCCTAATGAATTGATTTCAATTGACTGATTTCCTTAAATGAACTGTAACTGAGTCAAATCTTAGAAATTGTTGCACGTTGTTTATTTTTGTAAATAATACTAACCTCTCAAACTGACAGATTGAAGACTCAATCAATACTTTATATTTTCATTTGTTTACAATGTACCATTTCACACTGCCCCAGATTTACCACTAGAATAACAGTAATCAAAGTCTATCACATTCTTTTAGCTGTATTTTATCAGAGAATTTCCTTTTAGCGGCCAAACACAGTAAGAACGCATGCGCAGTCCTCAATCTTTTTTACCAAAGTGATAATGCCATTAGTGGATATGTCCTCCCTATATATTGATCATGAGGGTGTTAGGCTGTACTCTGTGGAAACACATCACACCCTGTGACTAAACTCCATTCAGTCCCATAACTCCAACTACACCACACTAGGTTTACACCAAGAACAGAGGGAGTTCAGAATCATATTTATCAGTATACAAAGGTTCATTAAGTGTGGGATTCAGTTGAAGAACATGGGAGGGTCAGACCAAATTTCAGTTTCCATAAATTACAGTGGGGAAAAAAAGTATTTAGTCAGCCACCAATTGTGCAAGTTCTCCCACTTAAAAAGATGAGAGGCCTGTAATTCTCATCATAGGTACACGTCAACTATGACAGACAAATTGAGATTTTTTTTCTCCAGAAAATCACATAGTAGGATTTTTAATGAATTTATTTGCAAATTATGGTGGAAAATAAGTATTTGGTCACCTACAAACAAGCAAGATTTCTGGCTCTCACAGACCTGTAACTTCTTCTTTAAGAGGCTCCTCTGTCCTCCTCTCGTTACCTGTATTAATGGCACCTGTTTGAACTTGTTATCAGTATAAAAGACACCTGTCCACAACCTCAAACAGTCACACTCCAAACTCCACTATGGCCAAGACCAAAGAGCTGTCAAAGGACACCAGAAACAAAATTGTAGACCTGCACCAGGCTGGGAAGACTGAATCTGCAATAGGTAAGCAGCTTGGTTTGAAGAAATCAACTGTGGGAGCAATTATTAGGAAATGGAAGACATACAAGACCACTGATAATCTCCCTCGATCTGGGGCTCCACGCAAGATCTCACCCCGTGGGGTCAAAATGATCACAAGAACGGTGAGTAAAAATCCCAGAACCACACAGGGGGACCTAGTGAATGACCTGCAGAGAGCTGGGACCAAAGTAACAAAGCCTACCATCAGTAACACACTACGCCGCCAGGGACTCAAATCCTGCAGTGCCAGACGTGTCCCCCTGCTTAAGCCAGTACATGTCCAGGCCCGTCTGAAGTTTGCTAGAGTGCATTTGGATGATCCAGAAGAGGATTGGGAGAATGTCATATGGTCAGATGAAACCAAAATATAACTTTTTGGTAAAAACTCAACTTGTCGTGTTTGGAGGACAAAGAATGCTGAGTTGCATCCAAAGAACACCATACCTACTGTGAAGCATGGGGGTGGAAACATCATGCTTTGGGGCTGTTTTTCTGCAAAGGGACCAGGACGACTGATCCGTGTAAAGGAAAGAATGAATGGGGCCATGTATTGTGAGATTTTGAGTGAAAACCTCCTTCCATCAGCAAGGGCATTGAAGATGAAACGTGGCTGGGTCTTTCAGCATGACAATGATCCCAAACACACCGCCCGGGCAACGAAGGAGTGGCTTCGTAAGAAGCATTTCAAGGTCCTGGAGTGGCCTAGCCAGTCTCCAGATCTCAACCCCATAGAAAATCTTTGGAGGGAGTTGAAAGTCCGTGTTGCCCAGCGACAGCTCCAAAACATCACTGCTCTAGAGGAGATCTGCATGGAGGAATGGGCCAAAATACCAGCAACAGTGTGTGAAAACCTTGTGAAGACTTACAGAAAATGTTTGACCTGTGTCATTGCCAACAAAGTATATAACAAAGTATTGAGAAACTTTTGTTATTGACCAAATACTTATTTTCCACCATACTTTGCAAATAAATTCATTAAAAATCCTACAATGTGATTTTCTGGATTTTTTTTTCTAATTTTGTCTGTCATAGTTGACGTGTACCTATTATGAAAATTACAGGCCTCTCTCATCTTTTTAAGTTTGAGAACTTGCACAATTGGTGGCTGACTAAATACTTTTTTTCCCCACTGTAACTAGTTAGTGTTCGCTTTGCACTAAAATGGGAGGCTATAACACAAAACAATTACACAATCAAATCAAAGTGCTGGTGGAGGGAAAGCATTACAATTACCTTAAACTCATGGTATTATCTATCACATCATACTTCGCATAACAAAACCGCAGCTTCCCTCCCAAACACAGCCACACCTCAAACGACCGAAACAAGGAGCCAATCACAGTTCTCAATTAATGAATCAATTAGCAAGCACTCAATTAGGAGCGCATTGGCTGAAGCATGCACAGTAATCAAGGGCATTCGTCACACCTGTGACACACTCATTTACAACGATCATCCTGTAGTCAGGTGTATACCGTCTGTTCTCATGATATTATATAATTTTATTGAAGGTTGCATTGTAAAATTGCGAAACAGATGCTGACTGGGAGCAGTGTTAGGGAGTAGTTCCACTACATGCAATTCAACTACATTTTGCAGTAGCTTGGTGGCAGTTTAACTAAATTCAAATGTTGATAGTATTTTCAGTAGTTAATGACCGCCGTGCTAAGCCGACACATTCTCGCTCTGGCTGTCACACGGATCTCACTACACTGTTAAAACTGTTTTAAAAAACTGTTAAAACTCCAGAGTGATGTTATTGCGGTCATGTTTTTTAACTTTTTTCACAAGGTAGTTTTGACAAGGTAGTTTTGATATAGTAAACTGCTTTTTTAGAGTAACTAGTTAAACAAACTGTAATTATCTTCAGGGTAGCATTATGTAACTCAACTTCTTCCAGTGTGAAGTAACTTATATTTCAGAGTAGCTTTCCCAACAATGCCTGGGAGATGGTTTATTGTACAGGCCAAAGTACAAGTAGCAATGTTGCTCTACAAAGGGGGTGTGGTCTAGGCACATCAGTCTTAGTGGAAACTCCACCAATATTCTAGGCCTTTCTTATCGAGGGCGAGGTGATATAAAGGCAGGGAAAAGCAATTCTGGTCATTTGTCTGAAAAAGCTCTCAGCATGAAAAAGCATTCCACCAGTCTGAGGGTGAGACTGCCTGTCCTGGTGCTGGTTCTGGAGGTTCTCCTCCTAGCCCTCTACACTGCCTTTGTCACCTATGACAACGATACTAATGCTAAACTGCAGAACAATGAGACCAAACCCATGGACAACGCACTGTACCGAGATTACCCATACTTTGCTGACATTCAGGTGATGATATTCATTGGATTCGGCTGCCTTCTGGCCTTCTTCCGTCTCTACGGCTTCAGTGGGATGGTATTCAACTTCCTGACGGCCACCTTCGCCATCCAGTGGGCCATCCTGGTACAGGGCTACTTCCAGTTCAGCCATGCTGGGAAGATCCACCTGGGGGTTATCAACCTGATCAATGCTGAGTTTGCCTGTGCCGTGGTGCTCATTTCCTTCGGGGCCGTCCTGGGAAAGACCAGCCCAGTGCAGCTCCTAGTCATGGCCCTGCTGGAGGTCCCAGTGTTCTCAGTCAATGAATGGGCCGTGATCAAGTATCTGAGGATCAATGATGCAGGGGGATCCATCCTCATCCACCTGTTTGCCTGCTATTTCGGCCTGGGTGTAACATTTGTCCTGTACAGGCCACGTCTGAACGAGGGTCACGCCAAGGAGAACACCAGCTACCAGTCAGACATCCTGTCAGTTATGGGAACCCTGTTCCTCTGGGTGTTCTGGCCCTCCTTTAACTCTGCTCTAACCCTGAAGGGAGACGACCAGCACAGGGCCATCCTGCACACCTTCATAGGCCTCAGCTCCTCCACCCTCACCGCCTTCGCTCTCTCCGCCATGCTCAACAAGAACGGCAAGATCACAATGGCCGACATCCAGAATGTGACCCTGGCGGGCGGGGTGACAGTGGGGGCGTCGGTGGATATGATGATCTCCCCCGCGGCTGCGTACGCACTGGGTGTGATGGGCTGCACCGCCTGCATGCTGGGATACAAATACCTCAGCCCCTTCCTGGCCCGCCACCTCCGGATCCAGGACCAGTGTGGTATCCACAACCTGCATGGCCTCACAGGACTCATATCCTGTGCCGCAGGGTTATGTGCCATCCTGACAGCCACTGAAGAGGTGTATGGACCCAGTATGTATGAGATCTTTAGCCACAGGGCACCTATGGAAGGAGATCCTAAGCTTCTGGAGCTCCGGGAGTTGATCCCTGGTCTGCAGCCAGGTCTGGGGCGCAGTGCCAGGGAACAGGCCCTCTACCAGGTGGCAGCTGTGTTCTCCACTATGGGAGTGGCAGCACTAGGGGGCGTATTGACAGGCTTTGTGTTGAAGCTGCCGTATCTTGCATCACCCTCAGATGACCTCTGCTTTGATGATGAGCTGTTTTTCAACGTTCCGCCCGACTATGATTGTTCGATGGCCCTAAACGGTCAAATCAAAACTGAGGATTCGACAGCCGCATAGGGTGCTAGCTTTGCATTTAATTGTATAAATAAGTTTAATGCTGAATGACGGTAAAAAAAAAAAAATGATTCGATAATAATGCAGTTTAACAATAGAATAAATCCTCATTCATGGTTAATGAACTGTGTGGCCCATTTCTCTTTCTTGCACTTCTTTTTCCATTATTTACAATCCCACACAAGAGAGGTTTGTTGGACACAAACAAAGGTTTTGTAACCAAATTAACCTTTGGGTTTGCTTTTGTACTTATTTTAAGATGTTATAGTATGCAAGTCTGTGTCTCGCTGCCTGATGAAATCCATTTGTCTATTTTTTGTGGTTTGTACAATTGTCTCATCTCATGTAATGACATACTGACTACAGTAGCCTCACACATCTGACTGTTAAATGTATTGAGGTCAGAGGGCTTTTGTTTTCAAGTGTGATACAACATTGGTAATTTTATGTCAAATTACAATTACATTTACATTTTTAGTCATTTAGCAGACACTCTTATCCAGAGCGACTTACAGTTAGTGAGTACATACATATTTGTATTTATTTTTCATACTGGCCCCCTTCGGGAATCGAACCCACAACCCTGGCGTTGCAAACACCATGCTCTACCAACATCCCTGCCGGCCATTCCCTCCCCTACCCTGGACGACGCTGGGCCAATTGTGCGCCGCCCCATGGGTCTCCCGGTCACGGCCGGCTACGACAGAGCCTGAATTCGAACCAGGATCTCTAGTGGCACAGCTAGCACTGCGATGCAGTGCCTTAGACCACTGCGCCACTCTGGAGTATTACCTAAGAATAAATAAAATGTAGCAGTTAGCAAAACATTTGCAGATGTGGGCACTAAAACCACATGATTATATCATTCATACAATGCACATTCACATAATACAGAATATTGACACTAATTTGATGACTCTATTAATAAAATATCTCTCATTTTACAATCCCACTATTTTCTTTACATTGTTACTGCGGTCCTCCACTATGTTTTATTGCGTATACTCAGATTTAGATAATGTTTAGTGGAGTGGTGAAAGGTCTTTTACAGCTCCTTAAAGGGTCGCAAAGTCTGATGGCCAACATTCAGTAAGCTATTACGCAACCACTAAGGTGACCCTATAGCATGCAGAGAGGCCTTGAGTGAAAAAGTCTTACAGTTTTTCTCAATTGCTAAAACACTAAACCCTATTGTCTGAACCAAATGCTCAGTTGCCTGAACCCACTGATTGAATCAATCACTCTTTTGGCAAAACCATAAGCACTTTTCACCTGTTTAGACATAACTTGCCAACACATTTTCATTGTGATGCACCCGTGCTGCATAATGGTGAGCACAGGTGACAAAAGTCAAACACAATTAGAGCACAGGTGTCACCACTTGAACACAACAACTCAAAATTGATCACACTTGTGGCTAATGATGTGAGGGAACATATACAGTAAGCCAGTTCAGAGAGCACTGGTTTGTGAGGCCCTACAATGGATAGAAATCTGAGAGGAAGAGTTCGTGTGAGAGGAGGTCGAGGTGGTCAGCGAAGACAAAGAACAGTAATATCTGATGAAATCAGAGCTACTGTGATTGACCATGTTCTTGTCCATGGTATGACCATGAGGGAGGCTGGACAAAGGGTACAACCAAACATCAGTAGATTCACTGTGTCCACCATAATCCGAAGATTTAGAGAAGAGAACAGGTAATTACCTTTTTTTGACATTATAGTACAGTATGTAAATGTTGACAGCAATTACTGTATGACATACTATATACTGTACCACAGTTTACTGTAAGTAAATATATGTTTCAGTACATCACTGTACCAATGTACTGTAGTATTGTAATGGAGGGTTGGTCTAACTGTTTGTAGGCCTAGTATTCCATGTATATTTTTTGTAACTCCATGTTCTCTTTTTGTAGAATTGAAAGACTGCCACATGGGGGTGGGAGGACAGGTATGTTCTCCCCACACCAAGAGACCCTAATTGTTGATATGGTCCGTGAGAACAATGCCATTAAACTGAGCGAAATTCAGCAGAAGATCATTGAGGACCATTTACATTTTGAGGGTATCAACAGTGTCAGCCTCTCTACTGTTGATCGTGTCCTCAAGCGCAACAGACTGCGCATGAAACAGCTATACAGAGTGCCCTTTGATCGCAACTCAGACAGAGTCAAAGAGCAAAGATTCCAGTATGTACAGGTTGGCATATATCCAGACACATTCAATGTTGATTACTCTAAGTAGTGATTTACTGTAGTGGCCTATTTCTACAGAGGGTTTTTCAACTGGATGCAATGGAAAGACCCCATCAATACATCTACATGGATGAAGCTGGGTTTAATCTCACCAAAAGGAGAAGGAGAGGCCGTAATGTGATTGGCCATCGGGCCATTGTTGGTGTTCCTGGGCAGCGTGGTGGCAATGTCACATTATGTGCTGCCATCAGCAATCATGGGGTTGTCCACCATCATGCCAACCTGGGGCCCTACAACACTCACCAGCTCCTCATTTTCCTCAATCACATGCGAGATGCTTTGTTAGGGCAGCAGGATGAGCATCCCATCTATGTTGTTGTTTGGGACAATGTGAGTTTTCACAGAGCCCTCCAGGTTAGAGAGTGGTACAATATGAACCAAGGTTTTATCAATCTTTGCCTTCCACCGTACTCCCCTTTCCTAAACCCCATTGAGGAATTCTTCTCCTCATGGCGGTGGAAGGTATATGAACGCCAACCTTACACCAGGGTAAATCTCCTGCAAGCCATGGGACTTGCCTGTGGTGACATAGGTGTGGAGGCATGCCAAGCCTGGATACGGCATGCCAGAGGTTTTTTCCCCCGTTGCCTGGCCAGACAAAATGTGGCCTGTGATGTGGATGAAGTCCTGTGGGGTGACCCAGTACGGAGACATGATGCTGTAGCTGAGTAATGCACTTATTTGTATATTTTTGTACTTTATTTTTACATGGGCTTACTGTACACAAGTGGCAAACGCACAAGATTTCTGTTTTGTCTTTTTGTACAAGTGCTAAATGCACAGTTTATTTTTGTTTTGCAACATGCATTTAGCCTACAGTGAACAATAAACATTTATTTCTCCAGCTTCATGTCCTGAGCATTGTGTTTTCTATTTTTCTACGTAGTGTTTAGTGACTGTTCAGTAGTGTTTTTTATTTTTGATTGACTCGGGGCACGATTTGACAACATAGTTCAGTTTTGAGCACAGATTGAACTGTTTTGAGGTGAAAGTTTGGTTTTGCAAGAAGAGTCTGAGGTTTTGTGAATGTAGCTTGAAAATTGGGTTTTGTGTTCACAGTTAAGAGAAAAGGAGAGCAGCTTTCAAGAAATGTCTTAGCAATCGAGAAAAACTGTAACTTGGGACTAATGTTTTTCCTGGTTAGGAAATTCTCCAGATCTTGTGAATTTATTTCCTGACATCAAACAAGTGTTTGAAAATTGAAAGAGGTTGTTATTCTACAGCCAAATTACAGTCGTAAAGAGCCAGACACATCAGTACATGTTATGTTTTTCACCAAAAATAAATAAATAACAAGTTGGCTACATAGCTCTAGTTTATGATCACGTATGTGCAGGGGAGGTAATGCAGTCCTAGGAGGCATTTGTTTTTCACATTTTGTGTGAATTTATCAAATCATCCAGTAGGTGGCGATAAAGTACCATATTGAGCAGAGAGAGGCGGTGGAGTAGCTTTTCTAGATAGCTAGGACAAACAACCCCCCCCTTCCTCGAGTGTTGAGTGCAGAGCGCCATTTTAGAGAGGCAAAGGAAGTTGTTTTGTAAAACAACTTCAAACGCTAAGAAGGGGAAAGATAACTAATATATATAAAGCTAAATACTTTACGGACTGTTACTAATAATTTCGTTGGGTAATACGTAGTCCAGAAATACCATTTTAGGGAGCGTTTATTTTGAATCTGTTGTTGGAAGGAACAGCAGCAGGCGAATCCGAGGTCAAATTGGGCCTATTTTAGTAGGTAACGTTAGTTAGCGCACTGGCTGGTTGGTTAGCTTGCTAGCTAGCTATTCCTTTTCTGGTCACAGAAGAAGCAGACGGGACGGTGGGACAAATCCCCGCGGTAAATTACCATTACACATATCAACATCTTCCTCAGATAGTAGGAAACTAACGCTAGTTACGTAACTAGTAAACATCTTACTAGCTAAATGCCTTCGCTATGGTTCTTAGTCAGCTACTGTAGTTAGATAGCTATAACTAGTCTAGCTAACATTAGCTAGCTGGAAGCTGTAGCCTACAGTGTAGGAGTGTTTGTCAAAGGCATTGGAATGTACCATGGCTGACGGTCTGTGTCAGCTGGGAACTATTTTGCTAGCTAGCTGCCCAGCTAAAATGTAGTTATATTGTTCGAGAACAATCAACTAACTACTGGTAACTAACTATCAGTTTGGCTAACTAGGTAACATTAGTTAACTAGTTAGTACTAGATTGCTAATTAACGTTATTCTGTGGCAGCAGTAGACCTGACAAATTCTTCATAAATGTCTTGTTTTTCTCTCATGACTAAAGTTGAGTTGATTGTGTCTTGTTTTCTATGGCAGGAGACCATGGCAGACGATTTTGACATTGAGGCTATGCTAGAGGCTCCATACAGAAAGGTGGGTAGAATTGCCAGGCTTGTATGTTTTTTTTGTGCATTCACAATTTGCTGATCTTGTATCATCTTGCTGCTCAGAGATGTATACGTTAGCCATTATTGATAGTTAAATGTGTGCCTCTCAAAATGTATGAATGTGGTGTGTGATGCAGTCAGACATAATCCAAAATTCTGAATAAACGCCCATCTATCTTTCTTTGTAGACTTGCCTAATGATATCTCACCTCTACTCCCATGAATTCACCTTTGATTCCAGTGTGAACTGTGAAAAAAAGTAAGGTAGTAATTGCGCAATGTATTGATGTACTGTGATCCCCCTAGGACAAAAAGAGCCTCATCTTAGAACATCCTATCACCTGTTCGGTTGCAACAAGGTGAATGCAAATGGATGATAATCAGCGCATTTTACCTCACATGCAAAGGAGACAGTATTTAACATTTCTGTTGACATGGTAACTAAAGGCATTGTTCCACCATGTTTACACCTGTTAGTTAGATTGACGTGATACCAGTAGTTCTGGCACATATTCTATTGATATGCATTGACATTTGCTATCCATCGTTGTCAAGTAAGTCGGACCTCAAATAGGCCTTACATGTATTAGTACTTCTTTTACCCTTACATTTGTCTTTTAGTAGATTAGTCTACTTAATCTATAGTATACTTTGTTTTACAAATCATTGATATGGCTTAAATGTGTAGTCATGATTTTGCCAAGGTCAACAGAGTAAGCTATTGATAACTTTGAAATATGAATACTGTCTCCCTGCCCAAGTCTATTGATGGTTTCCGATTCGTAAATCAGCATCTTGACTTTGCATGCCTTTTAACACCAGTAATATTCCAAGTTTATTTTCTTACTACAATTTATTTGTAAGATGTTCATTTCAAGATTTCATTTCCATGATACATTTAGTTAATGATTTCACCAATAAGAATAGTTTTCCCCTCATGAAATACAAGCCTAAATGGATCACCTCCATTCAGCTGGCACTAAAAGAACAAACATAGGACATTTAACATGAGGCTGAACTAGTGGATTTTTTCTTTTCAGTTTTTCTTGGGAGTCCATATTACTAAGCAGTGTGAATCCCTGTTTGCTTCAGGGCGAGATGTGTGACAGAGGTGGCATCGAACTCTTACATTCCAAGAAGGAAAATGGGTGAAGATCACTGGACTGGCACCAACCACAGGATCTCTTTTAGTGGCTGTGGGCCAAGCATGGCCTCAGTGGGCTTAGGAACAGATAGTGGTATTGGTACGACAAAGCGGGTGGGGTTGAGATGACCAAACTGTTACCATGGCTTACTGTAGCATGCCAAAATGTTAGATACCTTCCCCATATACCTTGACTTTTGGTTGGATTGAGTACTGTACAATATGTATTTATAACAGTGGGGGGAGGGATGGGGGTGGAACTCTACAGGGGCTGTAGATGAACCCCCTTAGATACTTCTCCAAACATATCAGTAATGTTAACAGTATTTTTACTAAATGAATATATTCTGTATTTTCTTGTTCCCTCCCCTTACCCCTGACGACTTGCAATGTTTCCTCTACGTCCTCATGATGTTCTTCTATCGACCCTGCTTAGGATGAGATCAAGTCCTCTAGCGCTAACGGACATGAGGAGCGCAGTAGTAAGAAGTAAGTACTGATTTTAAACTTAGGCTATTTGCTAAACCATCTTCACATTAGGTTCTAGTCGGGTTTTTCTGGTCAGTTAGCTATCTACGGTTCTAGTCGGGTTTTAATCATGTAACCTTTACAAAACTGCATCAGTAATGGACAGAAGATGTTGTCTCAAGTATCCGTTAACAATTGTATTCTGTGATTCCGTGACTTGCACTCTGACAATCTCAACTTGTGTTCCAGGAAAAAGAGGAGCCACAGCAGGAGTAGTAGGAGCCCAAGCTCTGACAAGCGCAGAAGCAAGAGCAAAGACCGGAAGAAGAGCCGGGACCGGAAGAGGAGCAAGAGTCGGGAGAAGAAACGCAGCCGCAGTAAGGAGCGCCGCCGCAGTGGCTCCCATAGCAGGGAACGCGCCGGGCGCTACAGAGGACACCGCAGCCCCTTGTACGTATAGAGGTCTTCCATTTTTGGCGTCCCTTATATAAAAATTGTTTGGAATAGTCTGCTTTATCTCCTCATTGTAGGTCATTTATTTTTCCCACCTTGAAAGCTGGTAGCTGAAATGTTGATGATGAAATGAAACAGGATTTTGTATTTGACAGTGGTTGGAGGTGGTACATTTTCTTAGGGTATGGTTGTTGACTTCTATGTGGAAGTTCACGCATGAGGTGGATAACTAATGCTGTAGCCCTAGGTTTTGTCCACAGGTCAACCCCCTGTTTACTACTCTCTGTTTTCTTACTTCCTCTTTCAGCTGAGTGGCATGTGACTGGGCTGATTAGCCTTTGTGGTTCAAGAGAAGTAGAGTACACAGAAAGTAGGCCCAAATGGGGTGAGGTGGGGGGAGGCTGTTGTAGTGCCCATTTTGACTGTCGCCTTTATGAATGAGAAAGTGTTAATCACTCCTACTATGCAGCTGGAGACATTTCCTCCACTGATAGTCAGTGTTCCTGAACCTTACTGGCAAACACACAGGCATGAATTGTAGTGTTAGGCATATTAAGCTACTCATTTGAGGTCATTGGAAGTGGAATACAATAATACTTATCTATTATTAAAAACCAACACAGTTTGGCATATAACCTCCATCAGGGTACTTCATCAGTAGTAGGCATACATACTGAGCTGAAACTTGTTTTACACCCCTAGTTTGGGGCCGAAATTTAACGGTGGTCCGGGAGGGAAGATTGGCCCACCACATGCCAACAAACTAAGGTTTTTATGATTAAATTCTTTGTGATATGACGTGTTGGTGGTTGGCTGTCTTGTCATTAAAATATATATGTAAAGTCTGGGTTAGAAGAAACTCTTTTGATTGTTACTTTTTTCAGTCGGAGACGCTCAAGAAGTCGTAGTCCCTTCAAGAAAGACAAGAGTCCAATAAGGTGAGATACACAGCCGGATTGTCTAGTTAGCTATTGTGGTTTCAGATCAGTTTTGTGAACTGGAATCTTTGCTCACCATCCATCAAAAAATATCTGTTAAACTGTTTTTTGCTTTCTTTTTCAAGGCAACCAATTGACAACCTGACCCCAGAGGAGAGGGATGCCCGTACTGTGTTCTGTATGCAGCTGGCAGCCAGAATCAGACCAAGAGATCTAGAGGACTTCTTCTCAGCTGTGGGGAAAGTCAGTATTCGCAGTTTACAAACTCAGAGCATTTAAAAGTAGATTGCATTATCTCTTTGAAGCATGAAATATGTCAACATCAACATTTATTTTGACACTGTATTTAGCTAATGGTCAATAGGAAGGTGCTCACTCTTGACACACTATTGCTATTTTGTCCCCTGTAGGTGAGAGACGTGAGGATGATCTCTGACAGAAACTCAAGGAGGTCAAAGGGCATCGCCTACATTGAGTTTCTGGAGGCGAATTCAGTCCCGCTGGCCATTGGCTTGACTGGACAGAGACTTCTAGGAGTGCCCATCATTGTCCAGGCCTCTCAGGTAGTTGATTTAACCATAACATTTTAGAATTGATGAAATTAGTAAATGTGATGTCACCTTTCAACACTAACTTGGCAGATGGCATATATTCACAATTTTTGTATGTGTGTGCAGGCTGAGAAGAACAGAGCAGCAGCAATGGCCAACAACCTTCAGAAGGGTAATGCTGGCCCCATGCGGCTGTATGTGGGCTCTCTGCACTTCAATATCACAGAGGACATGCTGCGAGGCATCTTCGAGCCTTTCGGAAGGGTAACGAGGAAACACCATTACTTGTCAAGTATGTTAACCTCAATTTTCCACTAACTCTCTTGTATCTAACTGGATGTTGTTTTCCTAAACAGATTGAGAGCATACAACTTATGATGGACAGTGAAACTGCACGATCCAAAGGATATGGTTTCATCTCAGTAAGTTCCTGACTCCAAAAGATTGGTGTGTGCCATTTTATTTAGCTGATTCAGACTGGATGACTGTGTTATTGTAGTTTGCAGATGCTGAGTGTGCTAAGAAGGCCCTGGAGCAGCTGAATGGCTTTGAGCTGGCCGGACGGCCCATGAAGGTTGGTAATGTGACGGAACGTACCGATTCCTCCACCGCCAGCTCCTTCCTGGACAACGATGAGCTGGAGAGGACGGGCATCGACCTGGGCACCACCGGGCGCCTGCAGCTCATGGCCCGGCTGGCAGAGGGTGAGATATTAGCTGATGTTTTTGAGTGAATGTAGTTTGGTATTTTTTTGTGCTCAAAATTGGCATTCGATTTATTTGTCAGCCGTTAGTAAAAGTTGAGCTTAGCATTCGATATCTCCACCTGTTTTGCTGAAATGTAAAAACCTATTTTGTCAACCAAGGTGTTGTTACCCCAGTTGACTTCTATAGTCACTCCAGTATGTGTGCTCAAGTTGTTTTAAATAGCATTGAACAGACTTGATGCTAATGAATAGTTTGTTTCCCTCAGGTACTGGTCTTCAGATCCCTCCAGCTGCACAGCAGGCTCTACAGATGAGTGGTTCCATGCACTCCTCTTCAATCCACTTCAGCAACATGGCAGCTGGTACAGGTAGGCACATTATCTATACTGTATGTAACATATCATACTACATATTGTGGAATGAACTACTCACCGGCCTCATCTTAAGACACTGCAGACTTGCCTCTCCTCAAAGGAGAAACGTTCAAAACCTGTGATTTTGCATTTGAAGTTTAAGCTTTGGAAGTGGAGTACCTCATTCAAATGTGAAATTCACCACTAAGTTTACTTTGGCTGTTAATCATAAAACTCATTCTAGAGGTACATAGCAAACGAGAGCTGTCAGACCTGCTGTGGCAGGATGATTTCTAGTGAACAATGCAAAGAGGGTTAAAATGATCTGGAGACTACGTGGGTTCAAATGATTTGCAGACAACGTGGGTTCAAATGAAATGTATCTGTGACCACCAGTATTTGATAATCTCAAATGTACCACCATAAGACTTCTCATCTTTTCTCACTATAATTTATATTTTAATGATCTCTTCCACATTTACAGTGCATTTGGAAAGTATTCAGACCCCTTGACTTTTTCTAAATTTTGTCACATTACAACCTTATTCTAAAATGTTATATAATAAAAAAAACATCAATCTATACACACTAGTCAAAAATGACAAAGCAAAAACAGGTTTTAGAAATTTGTGCAAATCTATAAAAAAAAGTATCACATTTACATAAGTATTCAGACCTTTTACTCAGTACTTTATTGAAGCACTTTTGGCAGCAATTACAGCCTCGAGTCTTCTTGGGTATGACGCTACAAGCTTGGCACCACTGTATTTGGGGAGTTTCTCCCATTCCTCTCTGCAGAACCTCTCAAGCTCTGTCAGGTTGGATGGGGAGCGTTGCTGCACAGCTATTTTCAGGTCTCTGCAGAAATGTTCGATCGGGTTCAAGTCTGGGCTCTGGCTGGGCCACTCAAGGACATTCGGAGACTGGTTCCGAAGCCACTCCTGCGTTGTCTTGGCTGTGTGCTTAGGGTTGTTGTCCTGTTGGAAGGTGAACCTTTGCCCCAGTCTGAGGTCCTGAGCACTCTGGAGCAGGTTTTCATCAAGGATCTCTCTGTACATTGCCCCGTTCATCTTTGCCTCGATCCTGACTAGTCTCCCAGTCCCTGCCGCTGAAAAACATCCCCACAGCATAATGCTGCCACCACAATGCTTCACCGTAGGGATGGTGCCAGGTTTCCTCCAGATGTGACGCTTGGCATTCAGGCCAAAGAGTTCAATCTGTTTCATCAGACCAGAGAATCTTGTTTCTCATGGTCTTGAGAGTCTTTTGGTGCCTTTTGGCAAACTCCAAGCCTTTTACTGAGGAGTAGCTTCCGTCTGGCCACTCTACCATAAAGGCCTGATTGGTGGAGTGCTGACCAAGGCCCTTCTCCCCTGATTGCTCAGTTTGGCAAGGCGGCCAGCTCTAGGAAGAGTCTTGGTGGTTCCAAACTTCTTCCATTTAACAATGATGGAGGCCACTATGTTCTCGGGGACCTTCAATGCTGCAGAATCTTTTTGGTACCCTTCCCCAGATCTGTGCCTCGACACAATCATGTCTCGGAGCTCTATGGACAATTCCTTCGACCTCATGGCTTGGTTTTTGCTCTGATATGCACTGTCAACTGTGGGACCTTATATAGACAGGTGTGTGCCTTTCCAAATCATGTCCAAGCAATTGAATTTACCACAGTTGGACTCCAATCAAGTTGTAGAAACATCTCAAGGATGATCAATGGAAACAGGATGCACCTGAGATAAATTGAATCTCATAGAAAAGGGTCTAAATACTTATGTAAATAAGGTATTTCAGAATTTTTATTTTAATACGTTAGCAATTTTTCTCGCCCTGTTTTCGCTTCGCCGTTATGGGGTATTTTGTGTAGATTGCTGAGGGGGATAAAGTATTTAATCCATTTTAGAATAAGGCTGTAATGTAACAAAATGTGGAAAAAGTCAAGGGGTCTGAACACTTTCCGAAGGCACTGTATCTAATGGATCCACACGTAAACACTAAAGGCCAATCTGGCATTGCCACCAACACTCATTATGAGGTATGTTCATCACTTCTGACCACATCCCTACAACAACCTGCCATGATGTTGTCAGCTTTTGGTGAAAGAGTACGTCTCTGAGATGTCTATCTAAAAGCTGTTTTCTTCCCTCACGATGGCACTGCGTGAAAAGAGTACATTGAATATCATAGGCAACTGGTGGGAAACCTAGAATGAGTTAGCACCGTTTAAGTCAACCTGTTTGTTGTTTTGACTTGCCAAAGCCAGCAGTTTGTCTTACTAGGTGAATGGACACTTCAAACTTGCTATGCAACACTAAAATGTTAACCTTTGCTTCTCTCACGTTGTTTGCCTTATGCTATGGATGTCCACCTGTAGCAACTAGGTCTAATGGTTTGATGTGCACTGCAGTGTAGTAAGTCAATGGTCTTGGCTAAGCTCTTCATCCATTGTGCATCTTTCCATCCTCAAAACCTAAATAATTTCCCCTTTCCGGCTGAAGTGCGAGTCTTTAATTTCTCTTCTTCTAATCTTTTAGACATACAAGCCAGGCCGAACCCACCCTCTGAAGGTGAATGTAAAAGATTGAAGTGCACAACTTCTCAAATCTGCACACAATTTAATGCTCATCTAAAATAAATCCTTTCAAGTTCTCATGTTTCAAACCAGAGCAGAATCTCCCATGGTTCTTTTTTCTGGTTGTGGTCTGAAATCATTGCTCTCATGCATACCAAATTCACAGTATGCATATAAATGCTTTTTTTTTGTTAAAGCCAAATAAGATTCTCAAGCTCTCTGTATACATCTTCTCTGGTTTTCTTGTAACTACATTTTGTCCAAAAGTGCATTGAAACAACACGGAGGAAAGACCAGTCGTGTACTTTTACATGTATTAATTGATTGCTTGTTAAAGGGGGTAGGGAATCCAAATTATTAAGTCAACCTGATGTTCTCAGTTAGAGGCAGCGTTGGGGTCAATTCATTTCATTGAAATTACAGTCCATTCAGGAACTGATGGTCAGTTCAAAAGACAGGAATTCAACTGCACTTGACCCCCCCTGGTGAGAAGGACCTCTGTTAATGATGCTGTCATCTCCTTTTACAGCTGCCACCCCTGCGATGAACCTGGGTACAAGCATGAACCAGGCCATGAACCTCCCAACTCAACCACTGGCTACACACTGCCTACAGCTGTCCAACATGTTCAGCCCACAGTCGTAAAACACTACTTTCCCCTTTTCATTTCATGATGACAGGAAGCATTGTTTAGAGCTTTGATTCACTGAACTAGGTTCACAAATGCACCACCAAATGTAAGATTAGGGTACAATTGGGAAGATACTGAATAACTGTCAACTCATTTATATGGCTTTTTTTCTGGGAGGCAAAAAAGGCTTAACTTTTCAATTCATGAAGCTGGGTTAGGTTAGATGAGTCATTAGGGGTTGAAATGACCTGCCTCTTTTCCAGGGAAAGTGAGCCTGGCTGGGACGTTGAGATTCAAGATGACGTCATGGAGGAGTGTAACAAACACGGTGGAATTGTCCATATATACGTCGACAAGAACTCCCCTCAGGTAAGACCCTTTTTTAAATGCACTTTATAGAGGTGGATAGTTCTAAAGTGGTCCAGCAAATTGTGCACTTTGCAAAGAAATTATAAAAATCATTCACCATTTCTGCATGTTTTATATAATGGTACATTTTTTAGAATGTTACATGTTAATTTCTTGATCAATTATACCCTTTCGTCCATCAAATAGTATGTTGCAGATTGCCAAGTACCTCAACTCCACGATGATTTCATCCACTGAGTTTAGCGCAGACTATAGTTTTTTTTTTTTTTGTATGAACCTCTGACTCCAAGTCGCTATGCAGTCGATATTACAAAATGTTAATTCTTAAACCCTTGTACCTATGTTTGTCCTCTGTTGCGTGCCTTTCTTTGTTTACTGAAATCCATACTTTTTAATAAAATGTTAATCAAGTACAACCACTGACTGTTTCCTTGTTGAGATTAAATTGGCACATGCGCATTCACACTGAATTGCCATTTTAGAGCAACAGCAATGAGGAAACAGTCAGTAGTTGTATTTGATTTGAGCAAACAAAGGAAGGCACGGAACAACCGAGGACAAGCATGGGTACACGGTAAGGGTTTAAGAAGTCGTAGGTTCATTAAAAAAACTTGTCTGCGCTCAACTCCGTGTATTTGAGGTACTTGGGCAATGTTGCAGATCGATAGTTGTCTTATTGCCCTTACCGCTTCCTTTCTCTGATAGGGCAACGTGTACGTGAAATGCCCCACTATCCCAACAGCGATGGCTGCAGTGAATGCCTTACATGGACGGTGGTTTGCAGGTGTGTATCCTTGTACCAATGCATTCTATAGGGTCATTCTTTGATATTTACATGCATTACATTTATATCAGTTATGTTTGTGGCATGGGATAATGGGAAGTAACCTAAATGAAATGGTACCATGTTAGCACAGAGTTTCTAAACCCAGAGGCGCAACATAGCAAGACTTGTGGGAACGCTTGCCAAACAGGCCAGGGTTTGGGGTTAGAGAAGTCAGAGAGAAGTGAAGAATTCTTTCTTAGTTGTTAATTAATCAATCTGAAGGCACAACCTAGATTCGAGCCAATGTCTTAAGTAGTTGAACATGTTTTTACTCCAACCTTGTGAAAGTGACAAACTAACATTTTGATTTCAGTCAAAAACTACTTTTATATCGAAGGAGTGCCTTTGATTTGAAGGCCTGCAAATGCACAGTTCGGCACGAGACGACCGTTAGACCCGATTTCTGTTTCTACGCATGAGCTTAGCTAGCCAACGTCGCCATGACATCGCTTACAAGTGTGATCAGGGATTTCTATTGGAGAATCCGTTTTAGCCTATCTTCATACTGTACTTTCTTTGATGTTAAGCTTCAGTGAGTTGTGCTGCTGATTTTTTTATTTTTTTTCCCATAGCTAGAATGTGTTCTTTAGAACTCTCGGCTTTCTACGTTAATAAAATGCTCATGTATTAGACAAGTACTGATGGAATGTTTTTTTGTTCTCTCTTCGTAGGTAAAATGATCACTGCAGCGTACGTACCCCTCCCAACCTACCATAACCTTTTCCCTGATTCAGTAATGGCCACCCAGCTACTGATGCCTTCGCGGCGATAAGTCTGCCATGCATGGAGTAGATGTCACAACGCCTGTGGGCTTCAAGAATGTACATAATGTTTGCTAATATGTTGGGAACTTATTTACCAGAGTAGCAAAATACTGCACCAGTCCACACAATCTTCATTCAGAAATACAAAAGGTTTTGAAGGATATTTGTTTTATTGTTCAATCCGACAGCCATCAGGCTGAGCTTGAGTTCTGTATCTGCACATTTCAAAAGGTGCACTTGAGCAAATTACATTGTGTGTTTCAACCTGTATTGCGAAAAGGGTAAGGAGTTGTTCTACAGATATGTTATACAGTGGGAAGTGGGTACTAAGTAGATTTTAAGTTGACACTGACCACAAAAGAACAACCCATTTTGGGGACAGCCCCACCTCCTAATTAACCTGTGATTCTAATTGCAGTTTGCTCTGTTGTCCTCATCCAATTACCACTTATCATATTGTACATTTAGTCATTCAGTTGTGCTTTAGAAATGTTAATTTGCCCAGTAAGTTTTTGTCAGTTGTGTTAAATGAAAAGAACGATGATCAACACCCAAAAACAGATCTATTTTTTTTGTCAACACCTTCAAGGTATTCATTGTGTTTGAGACCACTTTAAGTTTTTAACATTTTGTAATCAAGACTTGATTTTGTAAACTCTTGATTTAAATTTACTATCAAAATAAGTGATTTGGGTGGGTCAATGTGATGTGCATTTTTGTCTTGTTGACCTTGGATTGTTTCATCTGAAATGAAGGGGGATGTGAAATGTGTTTGTAATAAAAGCCTGGTTTACAACAGCTGGTCTTATTCTGAGTTGGTGTTTACACTCCATGTCCTGCTTTATAATTATACTGTTTTCATATACAGTAAAGCTTCATCAATTCACAAGTAAACGTTCTATTCCTACCCACAGTTACATCATGGATATGGTACTGATGGAGAAATCAATACATTTAGCAGTACACAGAAGTTTTGTGCTTGGAACTTCAGATAATCTTGACCACTTTTTGCCAACTCGCTATTAATTCCCTGTAGAATTCTGAAATTCTTTAATATTGTGTTTTGGAAACATGGGTACTATTGTGCCTGCTATTCACACACGCCTGAGAGATGGGTAGCAGTGCCAGTGACAGGTTCATCGTTGGTGTGTGATTCTGCACCAGAGGTCACAGGGATGAGCAGCAACTTCTCCCCCAGCGGGCGCAAATACTTATTTTAGGCTTTTTTCAAGAACCTCAGAGTGGTTCTGTTGGCCCTCGTTATCAACTACATCAATGGCATCCTGTTGTACACCTTCACCAACGTGACCTTCCACAGCGACTCCAGGTACATCCTGTACATGCAGCTGATCATCAATGACAGCATCATGTTGTCTTTCACTGTGCTCTTGATTGTCTTGACTTATGTATGCCCTTTCCTAAATGTGTCCGTGTGTATAATTCTCATTATGATAGCCAATAACACTCATAAGAACACGCCTCTGAACTTGGCAGTCATGTCAATTGAACGCTTTGTAGCCATCTGTCATCCTTTACAGCACCCTCTGATCTGCACAGCGAGCAGGACCTATGTGCTCATCGCCTGTATTTGGGTTGTAGGGGCCACCCCTGGGTTCATAGATGTCATCATCGCCTTTATCATTTTTCTCTACCGGTAGGATGTGCTATCCTAGGAATGTCTTTGACTCAGTTCACAACTATAACATTTACATTTACTTTTACATCATTTAGCAGACGCTCTTTTCCAGAGCGACTTACAAATGGGTGCATTCAACTTATGATAGCAAGTGGGACAACCACTTTTTTTTTCTTCTTTTTTTTTTATGGAGGGGAGGGGTAGAAGGATCGCTTTATACTATTCCAGGTATTCCTTAAAGAGGTAGGGTTTCAAGTGTCTCTGGAAGGTGGTCAGTGACTCCGTGGTCCTGGCGTCTTGGGGGAGCTTGTTCCACCATTGGGGTGCCAGAGCAGCAAATAGCTTTGACTGGGCTGAGCGGGAACTGTGCTTCTGTAGAGGTAGGGGAGCTAGCAGGCCAGAGGTGGATGGACGTAGTGCCCTCGTTTGGGTGTAGGGTCTGATCAGAGCCTGAAGGTAAGGGGGGCCAACTATGCTGACAATATTCTTTCCCTGAGCTTTGTGTGGATCATGCTGATCTACACCCACTTCAGAGTGAGGTTTTCAGCCAAAGCTGCAACCTCTGATCCAGTTTCGGCCAGAAAAGCCCAGATAACTATACTACTGCATGCGGTGAAGCTGCTACTCTGTATGCTGTCCTACATCGCTCCTGTCATGGACAATGCCTTCATCAGCCTCTTCCCCAAGTTCCGCTTTGTCATACTGTTCTGCAATTACATCACGTTACAGCACCTGCTCAGCCCTCTCGAACCTTCAGCTCCCTCCACAGATTTTCTATGGGATTAAGGTCTGGAGACTGGCTAGGCCACTCCAGGACCTTAATGTGCTTCTTCTTGAGCCACTCCTTTGTTGCCTTGGCCGTGTGTTTTGGGTCATTGTCATGCTGGAATACACATCCACGACCCATTTTCAATGCCCTGGCTGAGGGAAGGAGGTTCTCACCCAAGATTTGACGGTACATGGCCCCGTCCATCGTCCCCTTAGCAGAAAAACACCCCCAAAGCATAATGTTTCCACCTTCATGTTTGACGGTTGGGATGGTGTTCTTGGGGTCATAGGCAGCATTCCTCCTCCTCCAAACACGGCGAGTTGAGTTGATGCCAAAGAGCTCGATTTTGGTCTCATCTGACCACAACACTTTCATCCAGTTCTCCTCTGAATCATTCAGATGTTCATTGGCAAACTTCAGACGGCCCTGTATATGTGCTTTCTTGAGCAGGGGGACCTTGCGGGCGCTGCAGGATTTCAGTCCTTCACGGCGTAGTGTGTTACCAATTGTTTTCTTGGTGACTATGGTCCCAGCTGCCTTGAGATCATTGACAAGATCCTCCAGTGTAGTTCTGGGCTGATTCCTCACCGTTCTCATGATCATTGCAACTCCACGAGGTGAGATCTTGCATGGAGCCCCAGGCCGAGGGAGATTGACAGTTATTTTGTGTTTCTTCCATTTGCGAATAATCGCACCAACTGTTGTCACCTTCTCACCAAGCTGCTTGGCGATGGTGTTGTAGCCCATTCCAGCCTTGTGTAGGTCTACAATCTTGTCCCTGACATCCTTGGAGAGCTCTTTGGTCTTGGCCATGGTGGGAAGTTTGGAATCTGATTGATTGATTGCTTCTGTGGACAGGTGTCTTTTATACAGGTAACAAGCTGAGATTAGGAGCACTCCCTTTAAGAGTGTGCTCTAACCTCAGCTCATTACCTGTATAAAAGACACCTGGGAGCCAGAAATCTTTCTGATTGAGAGGGGGTCAAATACTTATTTCCCTCATTAAAATGCAAATCAATTTAACATTTTTGACATGCGTTTTTCTGGATTTTTTTGTTGTTATTCTGTCTCTCACTGTTCAAATAAACCTACCATTAAAATTATAGACTGATCATTTCTTTGTCAGTGGGTAAACGTACAAAATCAGCAGGGGATCAAATACTTTTATCCCCTGTATGGTCTGAGAGATCAGAAGTTTAAGAAGCCCATTAAGGGGTCCCTTCTTTGTAAGAAAACAGATCCTGCGGTGAAACCTTATTACTTAGTAGTAGTCGGAGCTTAAAAAGTGTACCATAACACCAATTGTTTCTATACTGCACACCTAAAACTAGTAATAAACAATCTGCTCTGCGATGTTGTATTGCCCTTTACTCAAACACAGCAGAACATGCTTATTGTTTACATATAGCACATTTATTAAAATGGTGACTGACCAGTAATGTACTGTGTATTACTTTTGAATTCAGCACGAGCAGAGATGTTTCAATTGGTTATTTTGAATGTCTCCATCACTAACTGCATGGGGTTATTATTGGAACATCCAGACACTATTCCCTTCTCAACATGATCCCCCCCTTGCCTCGAGCTTGTTTTCACCTCAGATCCCGTTGGTGTATTAGGCCATTATTACAGTACATCACAACCCTTTCCACTATATTCTATGGATTGGAACTGATCAATAATCTGTAACAGGAAGATTTAAGGAGATCTCCTTCCACAGATCCACAAAGCACATTTCACAAATGATAAGTGATATACAGGTTTAATGCACAAAAACACCAATACTTTATTTTCCTTTCACATTTTCTTTTTTTTTTTAAACAAAAAGTAGAATAAACATAATCCCACTGCAAACAGCATGTTTTTTTAGTTTTGTTTTTTTACATAGATATATATTTTAATCAAAAGTGCCATTTACAAAACCTTTTCTTCCTTTTTTTCCCCTTTTACATTTTTCTCTTTTTTTTGTTTGTTTTAACTTTTTCCTCCTTCAGCGATTCCTTTGCAGTGTCCTGGAACACAAGTAAAATCAAAATTCAGTAACAACTGCTTTACAGTCACAAATGACAATAGTGTGGTCAATTTTGGCATAGTAACTACTGTTAAACTCCTTATAACCTAACCTGAAGGGGTTCTCTACTTAGGAGAGTTTTCCTTTGCCTGGTGGGCTTGCAGCACAGCTACCGCCTCATCCACCTGGAGAGAACAGTGAAGACAAAACACATGGGATTAGCACAATAACAACTATGACCATGATAACCCACCACCAAGAAACTCCCAGCAATCATAAATGGCTTCCAATTTTTGCCTGTAAAATGTCTTTCTGGTCATTGATCTGAAAGGACAGAGTGAATGGAAGCTTGTCGTACCTTAGAGTGCAGGGACTCGGGTGACTCCAGCATGTGCAGAAGCTCAGAGTTGTCAATCTCCAGCAGCATCCCAGTGATTTTACCAGCCAGGTTGGGGTGAAAGCCATGGATCAGAGGGTACAATCGCTCACCTGCAAACCAAGGGAAAGAGAATGAGATTAGATTGAGGAGAGTGCCAGTGAGGCATCTCAACACCCTCCGATAGAGGATTCACTGCAGAACATCACAGATCATGAACACTCCCCAATACCATTCCAGATACATACCAAGCAGCTGTTTCTGCTCCATGAGGGGGGCTGCAGCCAGCATGGAGGCAGTGAGGGGTTCCTGGCCTCTGACATGCACCGCTGGCTCCATCATCTGCTGGGTAACAACCTTACAACACAGCAGGAGTAAAAGAACAGTTTAATGTAAAAAATAAAAATACAGGAAAAAAGAAAGAAACTACACAGAATATTCGATTCTGCAGCTATATTGCATTGCATTGTATTTCTTTGGGGAAAGGATGCAATTTAGGAGATTACCTGCTGCACTGCCATTGGTGCGGGCATAGTGATGACCTGCTGTAAGTTCCTCACCCCTGATGAGTACTTATACTGGGTGCCTCGGACCATACCACCAGACATGCCTGCACGACCTCCTGCTGTCTGTGTGCCAATGTTAGCTGGAGAGGGGGGTGTCCATTAGTTACTGTTCTCGCATTACAGCAACTATATGTTTTGAGTAAGCTTGTGTGTAGCCCTTACCCATCCTCTGTGTGTAGTTGATGATGCGTGGAGCCTGGGTGGAGGCCTGTCTGACGGTGCTGATGGGGGTGGAGGCGCGTCGGGGAACAGCAGACCTGACAAACTGGCCCGAGTAGGGTGCTGACAGCAAAACACATGCCATGTCAATAGGGCATCAAACACATTCTTGTAACAAATAAACATGTTAGAGTAGCAGTAATGCTATAATTCTTTTAGCTCCAGTATCTCATAAAAATATTTATATGGGAGTGCTGCCTCCAACTCACCCTGTGGTCTGGGTGGCTGTGCAGCCCAGCGAGGAGACGTCCTCATGGTGCTCACAGGGTTGGGGTTGTAGAAGGTGCGACTTGGGGGCTACAAAAAAACAATTTCTTACAGATAAAAACGTCATCTTCCAGGGCCAGCCCTGTGATAAAAGACTAAAGGTAACATAGGCATTCTAATTTTGTCTATTCTAGCATGATGCATCTAGTGATTACCCCCTCCCGCCAACCGTACTACGGACCTGAGGCACAGCAGTCATGTAGTAGCCTGCCTGCTGGTAGGAGTCGATGACTGGGCCAGGCATGGTCCTCTGCATGTACTTGTTGGTGAGGATGGCCTTCCGCTCCTCCTTGCGCTGGGCCAGAGCCACGTACAGCGGCTTTGTGGCCACAATGCGGCCGTTCATCTCAGTCACCGCTTTGGTGGCCTCCTCAGGAGATGAGAAACAGACAAAGCCGAAGCCCTTGCTGTGGCCCCCGTCCGTCATCACCTAAGTGGAGGCAATGGTTACAGAAGACCATGTTAAGATGTTCAGAGATATTACACAGATCCAGACATACTTCTTTCAGCCTTTGTGATACATCATTGGATGGCAGAAATGACTACTCATGGAAAAGTATGGGTATTTCTACCTTGGCACTGGTGATGGTGCCATAAGGGGCAAACTCTTTCCTGAGTTTCTCGTCGTCTAACCCATCATCCAAGTTCTTGACGTACAAATTGACCCCCTGAATCAACACAAGAAAATACATTATATTAACTTACATTAAAGCTATTTTTCTTAATGCCACAGGTGTGTGCACTTCCCCACAGTACCTGATAGCGGTGGATGCGTTCCTGTTTGATCAGCTCAAACTTCCGTTTCAGCTCACCCTGTCGCTCCATCCTCTTCTGAGCACGGCCCACATACAGAACTCGGCCAGGAACGAGTTCTTTCCCATTCATCTCCTCAACTGCCTAAAAGAAGTCCATCAAATTCAACTCAAAAAGCCACATTTTAGATGTCATGTTCCCCATTTTCACAATATAATGACAGCCTGCTGGTTGACAAGGAGATGGCACATACAGTGGGGGGAAAAAAGTATTTAGTCAGCCACCAATTGTGCAAGTTCTCCCACTTAAAAACATGAGAGAGGCCTGTAATTTTCATCATAGGTACACGTCAACTATGACAGACAAATTGAGAGAAAAAAATCCAGAAAATCACATTGTAGGATTTTTAATGAATTTATTTGCAAATTATGGTGGAAAATAAGTATTTGGTCACCTACAAACAAGCAAGATTTCTGGCTCTCACAGACCTGTAACTTCTTCTTTAAGAGGCTCCTCTGTCCTCCACTCGTTACCTGTATTAATGGCACCTGTTTGAACTTGTTATCAGTATAAAAGACACCTGTCCACAACCTCAAACAGTCACACTCCAAACTCCACTATGGCCAAGACCAAAGAGCTGTCAAAGGACACCAGAAACAAAATTGTAGACCTGCACCAGGCTGGGAAGACTGAATCTGCAATAGGTAAGCAGCTTGGTTTGAAGAAATCAACTGTGGGAGCAATTATTAGGAAATGGAAGACATACAAGACCACTGATAATCTCCCTCGATCTGGGGCTCCACGCAAGATCTCACCCCGTGGGGTCAAAATGATCACAAGAACGGTGAGCAAAAATCCCAGAACCACATGGGGGGGACCTAGTGAATGACCTGCAGAGAGCTGGGACCAAAGTAACAAAGCCTACCATCAGTAACACACTACGCCGCCAGGGACTCAAATCCTGCAGTGCCAGACGTGTCCCCCTGCTTAAGCCAGTACATGTCCAGGCCCGTCTGAAGTTTGCTAGAGTGCATTTGGATGATCCAGAAGAGGATTGGGAGAATGTCATATGGTCAGATGAAACCAAAATATAACTTTTTGGTAAAAACGCAACTCGTCGTGTTTGGAGGACAAAGAATGCTGAGTTGCATCCAAAGAACACCATACCTACTGTGAAGCATGGGGGTGGAAACATCATGCTTTGGGGCTGTTTTTCTGCAAAGGGACCAGGACGACTGATCCGTGTAAAGGAAAGAATGAATGGGGCCATGTATCGTGAGATTTTGAGTGAAAACCTCCTTCCATCAGCAAGGGCATTGAAGATGAAACGTGGCTGGGTCTTTCAGCATGACAATGATCCCAAACACACCGCCCGGGCAACGAAGGAGTGGCTTCGTAAGAAGCATTTCAAGGTCCTGGAGTGGCCTAGCCAGTCTCCAGATCTCAACCCCATAGAAAATCTTTGGAGGGAGTTGAAAGTCCGTGTTGCCCAGCGACAGCCCCAAAACATCACTGCTCTTGAGGAGATCTGCATGGAAGAATGGGCCAAAATACCAGAAACAGTGTGTGAAAACCTTGTGAAGACTTACAGAAAACGTTTGACCTGTGTCATTGCCAACAAAGGGTATATAACAAAGTATTGAGAAACTTTTGTTATTGACCAAATACTTATTTTCCACCATAATTTGCAAATAAATTCATTAAAAATCCTACAATGTGATTTTCTGGATTTTTTTTTCTCATTTTGTCTGTCATAGTTGACGTGTACCTATGATGAAAATTACAGGCCTCTCTCATCTTTTTAAGTGGGAGAACTTGCACAATTGGTGGCTGACTAAATGTTTTTTCCCCCCACTGTATGGGAGCAACTTCAGAGTATTCCCATTAAACCCCAAATACAAACCCTTTGTGCATCCTCGTGGTTTTCATAGTTTACAAAGCCAAATCCACGAGACCGGCCCCTTTCGTCCATCATCACCCGCACACTGAGGGTCCTGCCTGGGAGACCAAGAACAGACAAGGAGCCTAGATTTCATAAGCTTTCATGCTAATATACCCACTACATCTGATTGCATGGATGTTCTAGAATGATCATTTAAATCAAATAACTATAACATAAACCACCACTTTATACTAGTGCCCAAAGAAAGGGATATGAAGTCATGTCAAAGCTCGTCATATGTCCTACTTTCAGGATGTTCTTACCAAATGCAGAGAAGACATCCTGGAGTTTCTCATCGCTATAGTCTTCGCCAAAGTTCTTGATGTACACGTTGGTGAACTTCATGGCTTTGGCCCCAAACTCAGCCTGTCGCTCCTTATGGGACTTAAAGTGGCCAACAAAACTGAACACCACACCCGTCACCAAGGACAGTTGAGAGATAGAAATATAAAAACTACAATCAGTATTTTTTAGAAAACAGAGGATGTATATATACACAAAAGAACAAACTCAAACTGCTCCATAACCCAGAATATCAGAAGTGTGGAGACTTACTGATTTTCTCACCTTGATGAACACAGGGCAAGATATGAGACAAGTGGTTGATGTCTACCTTTAATTTTACATTAAGCACTACTGGTAATTATGTATAGGCAGCAGATTGTCATTCAGCATAAGCGTTTTCAATGCTTTATTTAGAAAGTCTTGCAAGTCTCAACTTTGTGGCCAACAGACCAAACATTATTCAAAGAAAAAAAAAAAAAAAGGACAGGAACAACTGTCTACCATTTCCCTCACCTAATCGTGGCCAACTGACATTTCCCCCCCAGGAAATGGGCTTTTGGGTCTGCAATGCCAGAGTCACTACCTGTCTCTAGCCTGAGCAAAGAACATGAAAATGTTATCTGCAAAAACATGCAGCACTGTCTGAAAATGATACAACGTTGACCAAATCAATAGTCCCTCTTCCTCCCTAACCATTACAGATTTCCTTTACATTTTCCCCTACTTACATCTCATTAAATTCAAGGTGGTTTATAGATTGGTTGAAACGTTAAAAAAATTATAAAAGGTACCTTATGGATAGAATAAATAGCTCTTGGTAGGAATTTGTTCACTCACACTTTCCGGTCATTCAACAGCATTCCATTCATGGTATCAATGGCACGATTGGCTGCCTCTTGGGTCTCAAAGTGAACAAAGCCGTAGCCTTTGGAGCCATTCTCATCACACACAACCTGAAATTTAAAGTACATGTTGGAAATGAGGTACAGAGAAATTATGCCCTGACACTCAAAGACAAGAATGGAATGTCTACCTTGCAAGACAGAATATTCCCAAAGGCTGAGAATGTGTCATACAGGGCCTTGTTGTCAATGGACTCGTCCATGTTCTTGATAAAAATGTTTCCAACTCCTGACTTCCGTAGCCCTGGGTCGCGCTGAGACCACATTATTCTGATAGGCCGACCCTTGAGGACCTCATAGTTCATCGTATCCAGAGCACATTCCGCTGAAAAAATGACACGTATAAAGAGAAACACTGCATCAGACATCTGCTAATCACACACGCCCATGAATAAACTAATATAAGATTGCATTGGTGTAGTCATTGGAATATTAATCCATTAGCAGGATTATTCTTGACATCCACTTGATCAAAGCAAATAGCTACTTCAATGTAGTTGACCTTTGGAGTGGCTCTAACTAAGAGACAGAAAACTCTCTCATATGGTGTGAGTTACCATCAGCGTATCAATTTGTCCACGATTGATACAGAGTACAAATCTGATCACAAAAATAATATTACCATCAGCGGGCTGCTGGAAGTTGATGTAGGCGTATCCTAGGGACCTGCGAGTGATGACGTCACGGCAGACGCGGATGGATGTGATGGGCCCAGCAGGAGAGAACTTCTGGTAGAGCATGGCCTCTGTGACGTCAGGATGCAGGTCCCCTACGTACAGGGAGGCCAACGGGTATGATTGACCACTGCTGTTCATCCTGCAGACACAGAGATAGTGAAGATTATAGAGGGAGGGGGTGAAACTGGCAGACAACATAAAACCTAACTGACAGTACGTTTACATGCACAGTAATAATTCAATATTAAATTGATTATGGCAGTAAGCAGATTATGCAATCGTCATGTAAACATCTTACATTGCTTATCTTAAATCAGCTTAAGGTCAAAATCGAAGTAAGCATATGCCTATTAAAACACCTGGTTTTCATTGACTTCAGTATTATATGATGTTGCCAAATCCCTGACAGATTTAGGCTAGCTAGGTTCTGACCTTTGGGACTTGAGACACATGGTCTGTTTGTGGTGTGGTTTTCATATAAGTGATGTGTTTTCATATAAGCCCTTGGGCTTCCAACCACACCTGCACACTTTATTTATTTTGTATCTGTATTGTTGTCTATCACTTGTTTTCTTTGGCGCAAATAAATAAAAACTTGGGGGTGGTTGCGAGGGGAGGTGTCACCTGGGACACATAATGAAATTGACCAGTTGAGGATCAGGATGGCCAATCAAAACGTTTTTAGGAAAACGAAGTTCTGTCTGAAATGGTTGTGGGGTCTATACTAACGCCTGACCTTCCATAAAAACATCACTATTGTTACACAACAATGTCTGAACCTCACGATGACGATCACCAAAGTCTACTTTAGCTATTTAGCATTACAGTATGAGTATTTCTGCTGTCACATGGCCACCACTGGGAATGTAAAGGTTTGGCATGGATTCTCCAGTTTGCTAAATTAGCGACCTCCTATTAACTTAGCTAGCTAGAGGGCAGTAAATGTTAATTATCTTAAAACACAAGTAAACCTAAAAGATTGGTTTGATACAACATGTGTACTGTCCATCCTTGACTCATCGCTAACTAACATTAAAAGTTAGCTAACTTAGCCAGTTAGCTGCTGAAAGTTAGCAAACTAACGTTATTTCGTGGTTGAAACAGACTGCTGAGTTGTAGAAGGCAGTTAGTTAACGTTAATTAGTATAAACCATCAAAGAGTTCGGTCATTTGTTTGAAACCCAATGTGTTTGCTAACTTACAATGCCAGCTACTGTAGCTACTAGCTAGCTAACATTAAGGTCACTAGCCAAGAAGTTAGTGATTGCCAATCAAAGCCAGCATCACTAAGGTTAATGGAAATCAAAATAAATTGCAGTAAAAAGGCATTTATACATATATATATATTATTGTAGAATGTCTTACCTTATTGAATTGGCCAAGGTGGAAACACAGCTCAAATTCTTTAATTTAAAAATGTCTGGCCTAAAACTTTGAAAAAAGTTTTTGTTTTAATTTGATTACAGCCGTGAAACACCTGCCTTTTCACTCCGCGACCATGAATATTCTTCAATGACCTATTTATAAACTATGATGACGACGCGGTCCGACTAATCCTCCGCGTGAAAAAGTAGTCCATATACATTGAAAAGCTACAATCTGGGATTCGAAAAACAACAAAAATTAGTCCCGCCACTTGATTATTATTAGTATATGTCTAGGCTAGTGAAATTGACCACTGTTAATCTGCACTTTGCAAAGACCAAACATTCGTTTAAACAATTAAATGAAAAGCTAAAACCAATGATGTTAACAGTTTATATTCAGGAACTGCCAAAATAAAAATAAACACTTGAGAAAATGAGGGATACAAGTCTATTAAAAGCAGGTGCTTCCACACAGCTGTGGTTCCTAGTTAATTCATCAATTAACATCCCATAATGCTTAGGGTCATGTATAAAAATGCCCAATTGCCCATTATTTTGGCAACCATGGAGATCTCAGTGACTTTGAAAGGGGTCTCAGCATGGGCAGGGAGATTCTGGAGTGGCTCCTGAGACAGCATTTTCCATCAACAATACACCAAATGATGAAATTATATGGGTGTCACATCCCTCCATGATGGAATTCCTCATGGAAGAATGGTGTCACCATAGAGATCTATGGGTGTCACATCCCTCCAATAGATTTCCAGACACTTGTAGAATGTACGCCAAGGCGAATTAAAGTTGTTCTGGCGGCTCAACGCCCAATTAAGATACTATGTTGGTGTTTCCTTTATTTTGGCAGTTACCTGTACTTCATTGGCAAAAAAACTGAAGACTTTGCTTGAGTGTGGCGTTGCCCTGACCGACTACACATTTTGATTTACATCTTCATTCTTTAATTTGGGAATTGTACAATAATGTACTTTGTAAATATTGTTAAAATAAACATATTACACCTGTTATCTTAAACAACTTTTTCACTTTGACAGTTTCCTAAACATGTAAGTGAAACTAGGACGGTTTTTAAGACACAAATCTAAAAGAATTCACTGAATAATACTGGTCAGTAAAAACAAAGCAAGATAGGCTCTGTTCCACATTCACCAACTGCCTTTTTATATATTCAGATAGAGGATTCTCACTCAGTATGTGGTGCATCTTTAAGAAAACAGATTGACATGTAGTCGTGTCTTACTCTATGTGGGGTTTAATCGTGGTGTGTATGGTATTGTGACACTGCTTCTTACTTGGGTTGTGGTATGGGTTGGGTCTCCAATCTGCTGCTTCACAATGGCTGTGTTTGAGAGGATCAAAACCGTAATGTAATATGAGTAAACTGATCTACAAATAACGGTAACATTGATGATGCAAGGTTCTTCGTAGATCAGTCAGTCGGCAGTCGCCTGCACTGTTGAACAAGCCCAATAAGTTGGACAGAAAATGCTTCAGAGGCTCATGTTCAAAGCAGTAAAGTTCAGGGGCATGCAAGCAGAAGTATGACATCATACCATTACCTTATAAACCTTGATTCATACTTTTTAGATTCTAAAAAATGAGAATAGAAAAAAAGACTCTTGGTCTAAGCTTAATTTGAACTTTTTGGCAGTCTGAAATGAGAGACATGAATTGTCTTCCATTTGAAGTGTCCATAAGAGACCGTAGGAGAGAAACCCAGGCACAGAAACATTGGAGAAAACTGCTTTAAGAGGAATATTTTGCAAGCAGGGTTGATACAGTGTGAGAAGACATTTTCAATTAACGTCGAAAAAAGGTTGTTACTTTAGGTTTTACAGAAAGATGATAGTCAATCTTGCAAAATACAAGGTACATTTAAGCACATACAATTTTCATTGTACCTAGTTCAAGTTGCGCTTGATCTTGAACAGTGAGTTACACCACTAGGACAATAATCCACACTTTGTTCAAAAAGAGGTCTGCCTTTCAGAAAGCCTAATATAATTCTGGTGGAATGTCTTATGATGGAGGAAATCTAACATGGCGAACTAAGGCGTCCCTTAATCAAACCTTTAAATGGTGAAATTGTGATCATGATTAGAGCGAAACGCCCTGATGCCAGTGTCACAATACAGCCTGCCTCCTTTCTGTATGAGCCGACAGCAGAATTGCACTGTTAGCTAAATACAGGATTGTACTGCGTGTCTGAACTTCAAAAGCAAGCAATAGTGGCGTGGGGAATTTTTTTTAACACTTAGCATCACAGTGTTAGGTGAAAATTAACTGCCAGTTTAATAACCATACGATAAAAACGTCAAATACCATGACGAATCACAAAAAAAAAAAAATGACCGTAACAAAAAAAAAAAAGGATGAAAAATGCTCAACCAGCTAGGTGGGACAAAGAAATGAAGGATGATTAGAATTCACAACCCCCCGGCCCCCAACACAAACAGTCATACACACACGCGCACACACACACACACATACGATCTAGCACACACACACAAACAAAACCAAACAAAAACATGGACTCGGTACTCAATACAACCACATTATTTTCACAAACAAAATGACAACCTGCTAACAACTGAACATTACCCTGTCGCCTCACAGTGACCTGAGAGGGGTAAACTAGTTGGTCAGGAACAATTCAGGCTGCTTGTCATACAGAAGGGGGATGGGCTGATGGAGTGGAGGGGGGATGTTTATAAGCGGTTTGTGTTTAAGATAAGAGTGTAGGTGGATTAACAGTGCAACTCCATTAGTTTTCCCCTTCTCCGGTCTCTCCCTCGTCTCCCTGGTTTTCCGATGTCCACAGCTGCAAAGAGAGGTGAAGATTTGTTACATTTTATTCCCCAAATTGCATTTGGTACTTTCCACGTTAGAATTAACGAGAAAAAAACACCATGCCATAGCAATTTACAAAACATATGCATAACTGGAAGCATCAATGAAATGGCTATTGAAGAAATGACAACACAAGAGGGAGATGTGTTAAGCCATTTAATATTTACACAAAACATTTGATTACATAAATAGGAGACAAACAGAACTTACAGTCAGGTTGTCCCTTAGTAGTTGCATGATCAAGGTGCTGTCTTTGTAGGAATCCTCGTTTAAGGTGTCGAGTTCAGCGATGGCTTCATCAAATGCCTGTAAAGAGTAAATTACACTAGAATGCAAAACTGCCACCAGCTATTCCAGTACACAGCTATTCCTTGACTATACAAATGTATACGCTGTCACTCCAATCATTTTGGTTAAATGGTGGCATTTTGGTTAAATAGTGGCATGCTGAAATAACTGTAGCAGGGGCACCATTTTAAATCCAATTAGATTTTTTGCTAACTGAGCCAAATGCCTTCATTCAGAAACTGGCAAGATAAGACATGCTACAATGGCTCTGCATTCTTTGAGTGAAGCTCTGTGCTATTGATCGTCTTGGGGGTGAAAGATGAGGATGCATGACTTGGCACTTGAAGTCGCTCTCTCACCGTTTTGGCCAGGGTACAGGCCTTCTCTGGGTTGTTGAGGATTTCATAGAAGAACACAGAGAAGTTGAGGGCCAGGCCGAGCCTGATGGGGTGTGTGGGCTGCATCTCCTTCTTGCTGATGTCGAAAGCATCCTGGTACGCCTGCTGGGAGTTATCCACTGTGGCTTTAAAAGGGAACAAGGGAGAGGATGAGTTTGAGCAATGCTATGAATCCAACATGCACTTAGTGTGCGGCAGTGCATTTCATCACTTCTTTAGGGAATATTTTAACATATTCCTCTATGCACACATCTGATCCATTAGGAGTTTCACGAGTCATGACAATGTGATTTGGTGCATTGTCCCATTTTATATAATTCTAAATAAACTTGTTTACTTACTCTTCTTTGCGTCTCCAGCTGCTACCTCAGACAGGTATCTATAATAATCGCCTTTCATTTTCAGGTAGAAAACCTTGCTCTCAGCTGCAGTCGCATTGGCAATGAGGTACTTGTCAAGAAGTCCCTGAAAGATACATAATTTTGGGGGGGAAATCAGCATATCTGCCTAGAGAGAAATGTAAAAATGTCCCTTTCACAGGGTAGACCACAACAGTTCTTCTTACCAGCACGTCATTGCAGATGTCCTGCAGCTCGGTCTCAATCTTCTCCCGGTACTCCTTGGCCATGGCCTGCTTCTTCTCGTTGCCCTCTGTCTTCTGCTCGATGCTGGAGATGACGCGCCAGGATGAGCGGCGTGCCCCCACCACGTTCTTGTAGGCCACTGACAGCAGGTTGCGCTCCTCGTTGGAGAGTTCCCCGCCCTGCTCCGTCACAGACTTCATGGCCCCGGCCATGTCATCATAGCGCTCTGCCTGCTCAGCGAGCTTAGCCTTTTGTACCAGGTCGTTCTTGTCCATTTTTCAGTCTGTGTGAGAGAGAAACAGTCAGGTGGGCCCTTTTCTCCTTGTCTTATGTCTGTGCAGATGAAGGAAAGGACTATTGAGATTAGATATGCCTTTGGCACCCTACATATGACTGGTCAATTACAGCATTTATTAAAACTGCTGAGAGGAGACACCTGCAAGAGGGCAGTAGGTTAATCTGACTGATTACTGTTCATGTTCCTTCTTGGTTAGATTAGGCCATTCTTATAAATTCATGGCTAGGGGAGTCTTATATCGCCTACTTTCATACTACCCTTTGAGCCATGATTATGAAATGTACTATGAATTCAAATACGAATGCAATTGAATGTAGCTCGCACTACTAGCTAAAACAGGAAGGTAGCCTAACGGTTAGAAGCGTTTGCCAAGTAACCGAAAGGTCGCTGGTACGAATACAACCCTAATTTGCTCCAGGGGCGCCTTACTACTATGGCTGCACCTATCCGGTGTGTGTGACAATTTTTTAAAAATATATATATATATATATATATATATATATTTCTTTATTTATTTTTTTACACTCGGCCTTTACTGGTGCATAGCCGCTGTTGTACGAGTCCGGATACCATACAACTTCGTCATGGTGGTGTGTTCCTGAAAATGTGTTCTCGCAAGTAAACTCTTCTAGTACAGTACATTGTGGCAGCAATGCGTGGGGCCACCTAGCTACATGTCGTCGAGTTAGATAGCTAGTTACTCCAACTAGACAATTTTGACAGAACCAATCGACCTTTCGATATCTCTTCACCCACCCCTGCCCCGTTTCAAATCAATAAATATTAGCTAGTCTCAATAGCTAACTATTGGTTTGCTATCTGACGTTTTAGTTATTACTAGACAAATTAATAAATTATTTAAAAGGTGTCTGAATGGCGGAGCATTGCCCAGTTAGCTATCTAACGACGTTGCGGTAAGACGCTTGATGATGTAGCTAACTAGCTGGCTAGCTAACGCTACGGCATTTCTCAAACGGCCTAACGTTGGTTACCATTATTGTTAAACGAAACTATATCATTTAACGTAGCAGGCTAACAAATAATTATTGTATTCTTATAGATTTAGCGTTGCCAAAAATCTACACAATATCCAGCTTACGTTGCGGTTCAGATTGTGACATTATTACCTAGCCGCAAAGGCCTGTGCTCAGCCTGCTAGCTAGTAGGGATGCTAGTCGACAGATCTCCAGCTAGTGTAGCAGCTAAGCACATCAGAAGAGTGGAGGATCTGTCAAATAATGGCTAGCGGGAAAGTAGTTAGCTAGCTGGAAAATACGATGTTCGCTGGTTATCGACTTCTCGTATGTCCATTTAAATAGGGACCAGTCAATGGTTATGTTGTACTACGATGTAACGTTATCCAGCTTCTAGCGAGTAGCTAACGATTATTTTCAGTCGCGTACATGGCCTAGGTCAGCAAGCTTACAAGAACAAAGTGTCATGATTGCTAGTTAGCAAGTTCTTTTTCAGCCCACTTCAGAGGAGCGCTGTCTGATTTAGCGAGCTAGCATGATGGCTAACGGATATAATTACACCGAAACGAATATACTGTGTAATATTGAACACAATAAATAAAGACCTAAGACATAAATGCACTTTCATCGGGTCCCCGATTATACAAACTCACAATATTTACGGCTCTAATTCCTGCTTTTTTCTCTGAAAGATGCAGCCTCCGTCCTCCGTCTCGCTCTTAGAATCGTTCAGGGCAGTACCACTTCCGCTACATTTACACTTCTGTTTCCTCTAGCTAGCTAGCTACATGTGAACCCGAGACTTCAAGCTTTGACAGACATTACGTCTATTGGTTTTAATCGTGTTTATTCAGCTACCTACTATGCTTTATTATCAAAGCACTCAATGGGAGAGACTCAACCTCTTATTTAAACCAGGACAGTGCAGTGTGTTATGGCTAGCAAGAGGAAGAGTTGTACACATCTCTTCAATGTAGCACTGAATTCAATGCATGTTGGACCCTCCCTATGGATGCACCTGAACATTTGAAGCAGTTATACTTCCCTATGACTAATAGTTGAAGGACAAATCTCATCACAGCTTTGAAATATTATTGAAAAACAAATGCACTAGCAATTGGCCAGTGTTTTAAGATGTACCAAGGCCAGGTGTGTACTTGCTCTATAGATGGGCTTGCACACTCCTACATAAATACTGTACTCTACTCATTGCAATGTATGTGCAATTGACATTCAGGGCATTTTACAGTGGAGTATGTTGAGCCTGTATGCGTCAACATGACTCAAAACTAAATAGACATGCATTGGAATGTGGATGAGCAGAGTGGCGAACAGTGTTCAGTATCTTACAATGACTTCCTTTCAAATAATACAGTTGACTCATACATGTACATTACAAGTGCAGTGCTGTTCATCAGTCATTTTGCTTGCTCTGGTTTTGTGCATGCCCCAAGTTATTGCATGATCAGGGGTCCAATGTAGAACAGTTTAGCACTTGGTGAAGAAGGTACGACAGCCTGAAGAAATTTGTCCTGTCCCCAAGGGCCCTCACAGTGTTCTAGAGGAGCACTGTCGAGAGCATACTGTCGGCTGCATCGCACCCTGGTACGGCAACTCCACCGCAGCTGACCGCAAGGCTCTACAGAGGGTGGTACGCTCAGCCGAACGCACCATTGGGTGCACACTGCCTGCCCTCCAGGACACCTACAACACCAGGTGTCGCAGGAAGGCCAAGAAGATCATCAGGAACCCCAGCCATCCGAGCCACCGACTGTTCTCCCCGCTTCCATCACTCAGGCGCGGGCAGTATAGGAGCATCATGGCAAAAACTGAAAGACAAGCCAATATCTTATACACCCAGACCATCAGGCTACTGAATAGCCACCACTAGTCTGCTACCTTCTCCCCCTGTCCCCCTCCTGCACCCCTGTAACCCTCCCCACCCCTTGCTGCTCCCCCTATTGACACCCCCCCCCTTTCCCCCCCTCCCACCTCAACAGACATTTACTCTGCCCCCACCCAATGGACATTTAGTCAGCTACCTGCTCCCCCCCCCCCCCCCCCCCCCCCCCCCCCCCCCCCGGACTTGACCTGCACTGTTGGAGCTCAAAACGCAAGATTTTCACTGTACCCTGCAACCCTGTGCATGTGACTAATAAAATCTCTCTAGTGTCCAACTTCCATTCATATACAGTGGCTATCATAAGTATTCACCCCCCTTGGATTTCTTCACATTTTATTGTGTTACAAAGTGTGATTAAAATTGATTTAATTGTAATTTTTCTTTTCAAAATTCTTCAAGCTCTGTCAAGGTGTTGGGGATCATGGCTAGACAGAAATGTTCAAGTCTTGCCATATATTTTCAAGCAGATTTAATACAAAACTGTAACTTGGCCACTCAGGAACATTCACTGTCTTCTTGGTAAGAAACTCCAGTGTAGATTTGGCATTTTGTTGTAGGTAGGTTATTGGCCTGCTGAAATCTAGGATTTTGCCAGTGCTTAGGTCCATCCCGTTTCTTTTTATCCTGAAAAACTCCCCAGTCTTTGCCGATGTCAAGCACACCCATACCATGATGCAGCCACCACCATGCTTGAAAATAAGGAGGCAGTTACGGAGTGATGTGTTGGATTTGCCCCAACATAAGACTTTGCATTAAGGCCAAAAAGTGTATTACTTCGCTGTGTTTTTTCCCCTTAGTATTACTTTAGTGCTTTGTTGCATACAGGATGCATGCATACAGGATGCAATGCTCTGTCATTTAGGTCATTGGAGTCACTATAATGTTGATCCATCCTCAGTTTTATCCTATCACAGCCATTGAACACTGTAGCTGTTTTAAAATCACCAGTGGCCTCATGGTGACATCCCTCAGCAGTTTCTTTCCTGTCCTTCAGTTCAGAAGGATGACTATCTTTGATTTGTCTGGGTGGTTTAGTACATCACCCACAGCATAATTATTAACTTGACCATGCTTTGATATTCAATGTCTGATTTGTTATTGTTACCCATATACCAATTACTGCCCTTCTTCATGTGGCATTTGAAAATAACGAGCCTAAAGGTACCAATATGGCAGAGGCTTCCTTCGGGAGTTCGAGCCCAATTGGCTCTCTGTCGTCGGAAGATCATGACTTCGATCCGTCAGCCGAGGTGCTAGTTCGTGAATATGACGACGAGAGGACTTTGGAGGAGGAAAATTCATTTGAGGACTTTGGAGGAGGAAAATTCATTTGAGGGCAAGAAAAACTCAAACTCAGAGATAGCCGATCTAGAGAAGCATGTGACAGACCAATTCCTCACGAGGCTTCTTCTCTGCAAAAAACACTCAGATAGCCGATCTAGAGAAGCATGTGACAGACCAATTCCTCACGAGGCTTCTTCTCTGCAAAAAACACTCAAACTGGACAGTTTTTTCACCATCTCTTCATTCAAAGACTCAATCATGGACACTCTAACTGACAGTTGTGGCTGCGTTGCGTGATGTATTGTTGTCTCTACCTTCTTGCCTTTGTGCTGTTATCTGTTCCCAATAATGTTTGTACCATGTTTTGTGCTGCTACCATGCTATGTTGTTGTCTTAGGTCTCTCTTTATGTAGTGTTGTGCTGTCTGTCTTGTCGTCATGTGTGTTTTGTCCTATATATTTATTTTGAATTCCAGCCCCCGTCCCCGCAGGAGGTATTTTGCCTTTTGGTAGGCAGTCATTGTAAATAAAAATTTGTTCTTAAATGACATGCCTAGTTAAATATAGGTTATATAAAATAAATAGAAAGATCCCTGGTCTTTGGTTGAATCTGTGCTTGAAATGCAATACTTGACTTAGGGACCTTACAGATGTGTATATATATAGGGGACAAAGGAAGGGGTAGTCATTAAACAATGATGTCTACCCCTATTATCTCACAGTGAGTCCATGTAACTTATGTGATATGTTCATCAACATTTTTACTCCTGAACAACTATATTTTAATTATTACATTTGTATTAATTTGTAAAATTGTAGATTTTCTTCCCCACTTTGACATTGAGTATTTTTTGTAGATCAATGACAAAAAAAAACCCCATCTATTTCAATCCCACTTTGAAACGCTACAAATTGTGTAAAAATCCGAGGTGAATACTTAACCATCGGGATTATAATGTAATTAATCACCCTCCCCTTCCTTACCCCCAAAAACAACAATCTAGTAATTGGAAATGCATTTTATTGATTACACATGTGTATGTTAAGTATTTACACATAACGTGTACAGAATGTTTGTGAGATAATGGACCAGTTTTCCTAACAACGGTCCTATATTGATTCAGTGCTGTCAATCATGAAGCCTGACCTCAAAAGACCTGGAAAAAACCCTTGAAATTGTTGACCACAGTAAAAAATAAAAATAATACCTCACTAAATGTCAGAGGGTGAAATGGGGGTAGATTACAGAAACTGGAATAATTAAGTCAATAATCCTGTGAGGAGTATACCGGTAGTGATTGAAAGCAGTGGATGAAGTTGTGTTGTCTTATTTTGGTGGTCTGTATGCTATCTATCTTCCGGCTCTTCAAAACTGAGCACCTGTGTCTCTTCATGTAATAGACCAATGGTACCAAGATTGCAGACCACATGAGTAGCTGTAGAGAAAAAGAAAACATACCGTCATTGGCATCCATCACAAGTATCAACGGCATTAGATACAAATTATTATGACCTAGTTGCCCAACAAAGTAGGCAGTTTAGAGAACTATAATTGAGAGCCACACACTTTCAGTCCCATTCGCTTCCTCTGATCGTGCTCAGGTTCCGTTGTCCACCTCAGGAAGGTGCAGACATCTTTGGCCACCTGGCTCATAGTGGCTGAGGTGCCTGTGGAGCGATGTCATTAGGAAAAATGGTTGCCGTTGAACATGCACAGTGCATATCTAGTGATTTTGTACAGGTGTGTGATATCCTAGTATGACAAAGAGAAGAGTCTCATTAGTAATTGTTATAAAAACAGCTGATTGCTCTATTTTGGAATGTATGCTTTAGTAACACAAGTCAGTTGCTCTCACCTCTTCAGCATGCACCTTGACTTCAGCCTCTGTGTGCGAGACTCCTACAAGGTTTCGGAAGGCCAGGTATTCCATACTATGACAGGCAGAACACACCTGCTTGTACACCTGATATCCAAGTCGGATACTGTGAGACAAAACAACAGAGGCATGAGAGAGAATTGTGTAACCTCAACGTGTTTCTCAGGGAGCCATTTAAACATCCCCTCACATGAGTGATAATAACATAAAGGAGGTGAATTAACCTGGCATGATCAAGAGATGACAGCATGCCACTGTGAGTACATGGGTAAGATGGTGGGTGAAGCTCCAGATCTGAGGCTTTCACAGACTGGTGAAGCATCAGAGCAATTCTGCCCCTCCTGCAGTCAACACACCCAACGACGATAGGGCCACCTTTCCGCTGGACAGACTGGCAAATGACATGTTGCTTGCCTGTGTAAAAGGTGAAATCAAGGTGAATGTCAGTAGGCTACATACTGGGAAGAAAAAGGTGACTAGATAGCTTGGGTCTTTTAGTAAAAAAAATACATGTCCTCAACTTTTACATAAGACAACCACTGTAGAGCATAACTGAGTTTCAAACAACTTCACTTGACCTAGTGACTTGTCTTGTTGTTAGAGTTAGTTAGCTAGAGGTCCTATTGGTCCATCGTCCTAGGTAGTTGGCCCCGTGTAGCTCATTTGGTAGAGCATGCCGTTTACAACGCCAGGGTTGTGGGTTCGTTTCCCACGGGGGGCACTCACTAACTGTAAGTCGCTCTGGATAAGAGCGTCTGCTAAATGACTAAAATGTAGTTAGCTAGCTAGCCAGGAAACTAATGCTACCGGTGATAGGTGACCTTGCGATATTCACGACAAAATTCCGTTAGAAATCCGATGTTATCCAATAGAAAAAGGCTGTAATTAAGATACATCCCTGATTAGTGTTGACGACATTCTTTGACTTCAGAAGAGTTATGCTGCTACAGCACACAACTGTCCTGCGAGCCGCCATGCTTGCGCCCAGCTTTTCTTTGCTCTGAAAGTTAAAATAAAATAAAATAAAATTTTATTTGTCACATACACGTGTTTAGCAGATGTTATTGCGGGTGTAGCGAAATGCTTGTGCTTCTAGCTCCGACAGTGCAGTAACATCTAACAAGTAATATCTAACAATTTCACAACATATACCCAATACACACAAATCTAGTAAGGAATGGAATTTAAGAATATATACATACAGTGAGGGAAAAAAGTATTTGATCCCCTGCTGATTTTGTACGTTTTCCCACTGACAAAGACATGATCAGTCTATAATTTTAATGGTAGGTTTATTTGAACAGTGAGAGACAGAATAACAACAAAAAAATCCGGAATAACGCATGTCAAAAATGTTATAAATTGATTTGCATTTTAATGAGGGAAATAAGTATTTGACCCCTCTGCAAAACATGACTTAGTACTTGGTGGCAAAATCCTTGTTGGCAATCACAGAGATCAGACGTTTCTTGTAGTTGGCCACCAGGTTTGCACACATCTCAGGAGGGATTTTGTTCCACTCCTCTTTGCAGATCTTCTCCAAGTCATTAAGGTTTCAAGGCTGACGTTTGGCAACTCGAACCTTCAGCTCCCTCCACAGATTTTCTATGGGATTAAGGTCTGGAGACTGGCTAGGCCACTCCAGGACCTTAATGTGCCTCTTCTTGAGCCACTCCTTTGTTGCCTTGGCCATGTGTTTTGGGTCATTGTCATGCTGGAATACCCATCCACGACCCATTTTCAATGCCCTGGCTGAGGTAAGGAGGTTCTCACCCAATATTTGACGGTACATGGCCCCGTCCATCGTCCCTTTGATCCCCAAAACATAATGTTTCCACCTCCATGTTTGGCGGTGGGGATGGTGTTCTTGGGGCCATATCCCATTCCAGCCTTGTGTAGGTCTACAATCTTGTCCCTGACATCCTTGGAGAGCTCTTTGGTCTTGGCCATGGTGGAGAGTTTGGAATCTGATTGATTGATTGCTTCTGTGGACAGGTGTCTTTTATACAGGTAACAAGCTGAGTGTGTGCTCCTAATCTCAGCTCGTTACCTGTATAAAAGACACCTGGGAGCCAGAAATCTTTCTGATTGAGAGGGGGTCAAATACTTATTTCCCTCATTAAAATGCAAATCAATTTATAACATTTTTGACATGCGTTTTTCTGGATTTTTTTGTTGTTATTCTGTCTCTCACTGTTCAAATAAACCTACCATTAAAATTATAGACTGATAATTTCTTTGTCAGTGGGCAAACGTACAAAATCAGCAGGGGATCAAATACTTTTTTCCCTCACTGTATATGGACAAGCAATGACAGAGTGGCATGGACTAAGATACAGTAGAATATTATAGAATAGAATACAGTATATACATATGAGATGAGTAGTGCAAGATATGTAAACATTATTAAAGTGACTAGTGTTCCATTTCTTAAAGTGGCCAGTGATTTCATTAAGCAGCAGCAGCCTCTAATGTGCTAGTGATGGCTATTTAACAGTCTGATGGCCTTGAGATAGAAGCTATTTTTCATTCTCTCCGTCCCAGCTTTGATGGACCTGTACTGACCTCGCCTTCTGGATGATAGCGGAGTGAACAGGCAGTGGCTCGGGTGGTTGATGTCCTTGATGATCTTTTTGGCCTTCCTGTGACATCGGGTGCTGTAGGTGTCTTGGAGGGCGGGTAGTTTGCCCCCGGTAATGCGTTCGGCAGATCGCACCACCCTCTGGAGAGCCAATGTGGTTGCGGGCGGTGCAGTTGCCGTACCAGGCGGTGATACAGTCCAACAGGATGCTCTCAATTGTGCATCTGTAAAAGTTTGTGAGCGTTTTAGGTGCCAAGCCAAATTTCTTCAGCCTCCTGAGGTTGAAGAGGCTCTGTTGCGCCTTCTTCACCACACTGTCTGCGTGGTGGACCATTTCAGTTTGTCAGTTATGTGTACGCCAAGGAACTTGAAGCTTTCCACCTTCTCCACTGTGGTCCCGTCAATGTGGATAGGGGGCTGCACCCTCTGCTGTTTCCTGAAGTCCACGATCATCTCCTTTGTTTTGTTGACGTTGAGTGAGAGGTTATTTTCCTGGCACCACACTCCCAGAGCCCTCACCTCCTCCCTGTAGGCGGTCTCGCCATTGTTGGTAATCAAGCCTACTATTGTTGTGGTGTCTGCAAACTTGATGATTGAGTTGGAGGCGTGCTTGGCCACACAGTCATGGGTGAACAGGGAGTACAGGAGGGGGCTGAGCACGCACCCTTGTGGGGCCCCAGTGTTGAGGATCAGCGAAGTAGAGATGTTGTTTCCTACCTTCACCACCTGGGGGCGGCCCGTCAGGAAGTTTAGGACCAAGTTGCACAGGGCGGGGTTCAGACCCAGGGCCTCGAGCTTAATGATGAGCTTGGAGGGTACTATGGTGTTGAATGCTGAGCTATAGTCAATGAACAGCATTCTTACATAGGTATTCCTCTTATCCAGATGGGAAAGGGCAGTGTGCAGTGTGGTGGCGACTGCATCGTCTGTGGATCTATTGGGGTGGTAAACACATTGAAGTGGGTCTAGGGGGACAGGTAAGGTAGAGGTGATATGATCCTTGACTAGGATAAGAGCGTCTGCTAAATGACTAAAATGTAAATGTAAATGTAGTCTCTCAAAGCACTTCATGATGACAGAGGTGAGTGCTACGGGGCGATAGTCATTTAGTTCAGTTACCTTTGCTTTCTTGGGTACAGGAACAATGGTGGCCATCATGAAGCATGTGGGAACAGCAGACTGGGAAAGGGAGAGATTGACTATGTCCATAAACACACCAGCCAGCTGGTCTGTGCATGCTCTGAGGACGCGGCTAGGGATGCCGTCTGGGCTGGCAGCCTTGCGGGGGTTAACATGCTTAAATGTCTTACTCCGTCAGCCACGGAGAAGGAGATGCCACAGTCCTTGGTAGTGGGCCTCGTCGGTGGCACTGTGTTATCCTCAAAGCGGGTGAAGAAGGTGTTTAGCTTGTCTGGAAGCGAGACGTCTGTGTCATGGCTGGTTTTCCTTTTGTAGTCCGTGATTGTCTGTAGACCCTGTCACATACGTCTCGTGTCTGAGCCGTTGAATTGCGACTCCACTTTGTCTCTATACTGATGTTTCCAGGCTCTGTCGTAGCCGGCCGCGACCGGGAGACCCATGGGGCGGCGCACAATTGGCCCAGTGTCGTCCAGGGTAGGGGAATGGCGGGCAGGGATGTAGCTCAGTTGGTAGAGCATGGCGTTTGCAACGCCAGGGTTGTGGGTTCGATTCCCACGGGGGGCCAGTATGAAAAAATAATTTTAACAAATTATGTATGCACTCACTAACTGTAAGTCGCTCTGGATAAGAGCGTCTGCTAAATGTAAATGTAAATGTTTTGCCAGTTTCCTTCCCTCTGCTCAGTGCAGTCTGAGTATGTCCACCAGGTGGTGATCAAGGGGAGTTACCAAACAATCACAGTGACATAACTGTCCTTCAGGTTCTTCTGTAACTGCACCGTTACTGGATAAGGCTATAAGGACACGTCTGACACCCAAACCGATATTTCATTTCAGAATGTTTTAAACATTTGGTTAAGGTTAGGGTCCGTTTTAGGTTTTTGCTTGTCAGTTTAAGCATCAGCTTATGTAGTCTCTCCCACTATTACTGTAACCATCCATACCAGTTTAACAATGGCTGAGATTAATATAGATCTCTGCAAACTCAAACAAAGCCGTGACAACAAAGAGAAGAGTTATAGTGTAGCCTCCCTGTGTGAGTGCTTTCTACCAGGCCCAAGCTTGGTAGCTGGCATGTGTGCATTCAAGCCCTATTGTGACCGAATGGGTTTGAACTCTGGTCTCGAGACACAAGATTGTGTTTGCCAGTTGAACGTAAGCATAGGCATTATCTCAGGGAGCTAAAACATGCCCTTTCGACCTCCTTCTCGCAGAGACACTGAGTTTGAGCCACATCCACAAGACTGTTAGCGGCTGGGCTAAAGATTATTAAAGGCATTAGCTCAGGAAATCAACGCAAGGCCACAGGTCATATGAATCAGTTTTGGATAAACAAAAAATGTAAAACGATTACCCATTTTAGATTATATTGCCAACCCAAACTGTACTGTGCTGGCTTGGATATATTTTATTTTTAGATTGTCCTTTCCAGCATGGTTCCAATTGTGGTGGATGCTAAACCAGGGGAGAACGACTGCCCCCTCTCATTGAAGCCACTGAAGTTCAAGGCCGACCGCAGTACTGCAGGCATTGTTTGCAGAAAACAGGATCCCTCATTACAGTGAATGGGGAAATTGCCATTTTCGTAGTCAATCTTTTTGTAAATAAAAAATGTACCAAAGACAATCATGGTACCAATAATTCCTTCGAATACACCATATGTATGTCCTTGAACCCCGGGTCGGGCTTCACTC